ATTTACTCAGGTGCAACGCTTGCAACATCTGCCTTATTATTGGGAAAACAGCTTCAAATGATTTCAAAAGTAATTCAGGTATTTTCGTTCAAACGTTTGAAGGTACAAAAAGACAGAATTAGTGCACATGATTCTGAAACATTGGACATGCTTTAAATATGTTCAGCTGATGATAAAATCTATTTAAAGTTTCATATAATAACGCTAGTGGGAGTTCTTAGGAAGATCCGACACCCAAGGACCTGGTGAAACCGGTAAGGCTTTGGATTAGAGTTTAATGAGTCTGTGAATCAGAAATAATTTCTTGTGGAGTTTCCCAACCAGCTTAATATTGAATTGACAAAGCGTATGTCTATCCCATAGTTGTTTTAGTTAGCAGCATTGGGTATACAGCTTAAGTTATACTGATGTTGTGTCGAATTTTGAACCACCTTGTACCATGTGACATGCGTATGGTAACTATATATGAGTTCTTAAAAATATAAATTAAAAATAAATTTAAAAAAAGAAATGGTATTGCTTTTAGATATGTATTATAAGAGGTACACCTTGCACGAAAAAATGGAAGAGTTATGTATCTCCTAGTCTATGGGGTTGATTGATGAAATTTAATTTGCGTTTTTCTTATCTCGAAACTGCGACTTAGAATATATATTAGATTTATATATAGCATTGTCTAACATAGGTATTTTGATATAAAATCGGAAATTTTCTGAAATGACACACCTGGTTTTGTCCATATTTCGATTCTACAACTCAAATTATGCCTATATATAAAACTTTGTAAAATTTGTTCAGAAATTAAAAAATTTCCTTGGCGCACTTTTTTCAGTTTGCGCCAAAAATAAGTCACTGACGAAAGTTCTTAATTTGTAGTAGCCAATTTTTTATTTCCCTTTCAGAGAGCACGAGCGGAATAAAAGGTACATCAGACATTCTTTCAAATAATGAGATAGATACGAGGGCTATCCAGAAAGTAGATTACGTTTTGGAATAAAAAAATAAACAAAGTATAGGAAACAAATTTTATTATATACAGATGAAAGCCACACTCAAATACTACTTTTCTACATAGTCACCATACAAATTAAGGCATTTATCGTAGCGATGTACGAGCTTGGAAATTCCTTCGTCGAAAAATTCGGCCGCCTGCGCCTTCAACACACTTCGTTCGTTACCTCTTCTTGCAGCTGTGCGTCGTCATCAAAACGCTGCATAGCCAGCCACTTCTTCATTGCTGGGAATAGGTGGAAGTCGCTCGGTGCCAGGTCGGGACTGTACGGCGGATGAGGAAACAACTCCCACTTAAAAGATTCAAGAATTTTACGAGTGACATTTGCCGTGTGGGGCCGGGCGTTGTCGTGAATCAACAAGATCTTAGAGCTCAACATTCCTCTGCGCTTGTTTTGAATTGCTCTTCTGAGTTGTTGGAGAGTTTGGCAATACCTTTGAGAGTTTATTGTAGTGCCTCTTTCCAGGAAGTCCACACCAAATTACACCTTTTCTGTCCAAAAAAACAGTCGCCATCATCTTCCTTGCCGACATTGTTTGCATGCATTTCTGGGTTTTTGGGGAGAACTTGTGGTGCCCCCCCTGCATTGATTGCAATTTCGTTTCACAGTTCACATGTTTCACCCATGTTTCGTCACCAGTAACGATGCGATCGAGTAAAGAGTCACCATCCTTATGGTAAGCGTCCAAAAAGTTCAACGCTGCAGCCATTCGCTGATTTTTGTGGTCCTCTGTCAAGATTTTTGGAATCCATCTTGCACAAAACTTGTGGTAACCAAGCTTTTCGCTGATGATTTCGTGCAACAAGCTTCGCGAAATTTGTGGAAAACTCAAAGAAGTTCCGTTATTGTGAAATTTCGATTTTCACGGACTTTAGCATCGACTTTTTCGAGAAGTTCGGCGGTCACTATGCTGGGTCTCCCACTTCGATCTTCGTCGTGAACATTGGTTCGGCCATTTTGAAATCTTATGACCCACTGACGCACTCCACCTTCAGTGATAATGTTGTCCCCATACACTTCACGAAGCTGCCGATAGATTTCTATCGGTTTACAGTTTTTTGCAGTCAGAAACCTTATTACTGAGCGCACCTCGCAGCTCGCGAGATTTTCAATTAACGCAGACATTTCAAACCGTCACAGTATCTGAACGGAGCACAGCACGAACCTCTCACTAGCACGGCTAGATGCAGACTGAGCTGCGCAACGCTCTGACCCCAAGATGGCCGCGCTAGGCCCCTAGCGGACACAGACGGAAACGTAATCTACTTCCTGGATGGCCCTCGTACATTCCGGTGACGTCGGAGGTCGCGTGATGTAAGAACTGCTAATGTAAACAAACAGGATTGTGCTGTGGTAGATATGTTGAAAATTCAGAAATTTTGTTTATTTTTAATTAGTTATGAAATTTGCATTTCATCGTTAATTATTATTTCATCCATTATTTAACTGTTCATTCATTTGGTTAGTATAATTTTGGTAACTCTTATATGTTATTGTTATCTTCATGATACTCTTTTGTTCGCTGCTTTACCATGTTTTGATTGTTAATATTTATTTATGAATTCTTTCCTTGATCTGATAATTGATTGATTTATACAAAATGTAAAAAATGAATACATTAAATCATGTTTACATAGATTGCTCTTCTACACTGAAAAGAAAGTTACTATAAATATTTTAAGTAATAATTTTATCAGCTTAACAAGCAGAACAGTAAGTTGGTTTTTGAAAACCGTAATAGTCAAATTTACGGAGCACTGTAAATGCAGTTGGCCCTTAAATCATATAAGGATAACGATGCCAATGTTCTGCGCAGTTCAATATTAATATATAAATTAAATTATAATATATAATATATATATAATATATAATTATATAATAAAATATATAATATATAAATTAAATATGTACTTAAATTTAATTTTTTTAGCAACTGACTATTATTCTATTGATAGTATAAACTACTGCAAATTAACACATTTTGTATACTATAATATAAATGCCAAAAAGAAAAATATAGAGATTTATGCAACTGAGTTCACTACAGTACTAGCTGTGAAACTAATAATTTTTCATAAAACACTTTTCTTCATTTTATAATAATAAACAGTAAAAAAGTTCTATCTATATACATTTTAAATATTCAAAAAATAAATTTGAAGTTATTTTTAATCTTGTAAGTTACGTAATTTATGTACAGAATTTTTTATTTTAAAATCATGTAGCTCAAAAATATTTCAAGTGCATTTATTGCAAAGATCTACCATAGGAAATAGAATAGTGTAATTCTAATGCATATACGTAAGGCACATGTTATCTCAAATTACGGACTGACACAACCACTGATTTTCAAAGACTAAATATACATGTTAATTTAATATTTAAACAAAAAAAACTCAGCAATCGCCCATGAAAATTTAGAATTAAGTATAAATTCTCATCAAAGCATCCTTTTATATTAAAATGTTTCAGTATTACTGATGCTTCTAATATTACAGCTGTTGGTATCCTTAATATCTACAATGGAAGGTATTAAAATAATTAACTTTCCGATATTTATGTGTATTTATTAACAGCTAAAATATTAAAACGCATCCTGATGAAATTAATAAAATTTTAGCTGCATAAAATATTCTATGACATTAATTAATATTAATAAAAGAAAATTGGCTTTGTATTTACGTTCTTGCAGATAAACAGATCTTTCATGAATTCGGCTATTTCAGTAATTTAGAACGGCTATTTCAGTAAATTAGAATTTCAGTAATTCATGAGCTATGAATATACTATTATTACACTTACATTTAAAAGTTTGGAAAACGTTATTCAAGGTCTCGGGAATAGTTTTCAATTAAATGATATACACTTAATATTCTTAATGAAAAAACTTATTAATACTGGTAAGCATCATGCATAAGAAAAATTTATAAATTTTACCTCGTTTTCTGCAGAAATTAGCACAGATGTTTTATAATTAATTTATTTCTTTATTTTGGCCTTAACACAGCTTGTTATAAGTACCATGCTATCCGGCATTACTTTGAAACAAATATTGTTCGCATGTTTTTCCTTGAATAACAAAAGACCCTTCTTGTTGACATCAAGGAAAGCGAAATCATTTCCAATCGTATTTTTTAATTTCTCGCAATAGCCATAAATTTTTAAATTCGAAAAATAAATTAATTTCAGCGGAATATCTGCTTTCGACTCCATTGTAGACATAGCACATGCGGATGTTGTTGTTCCTAGCCCACGTGACCACATTTTCTTCTTCTTCTCTTGCGGAATGCATCTTATTTTAACAAAGTGCGTAAACCATATTTGGCGTCATTATCACTTATAACAAATATGACAAATTTCAAAACGCGCCAATATGTAAATTTATATCTTCGAAAATTTTGAATAAAAAATTCTTAATTTTTGCAAGTACGCCTGAAAATGCATCTACCTTAAGAAGATGGCAGAAACTTTATAGCTTATAAATTGAAAAATTTATAAAAGTTTCTAAAAAATACAAATCTGAAAATAGCTGCAAATTTGATTTGAATGGAACCTAAATTTCGAAATGTGAAAGAAGGAATCAAGTAAGTTTAATAAAAAAGATATATTAATAAATGTATCCTAAATTCAATTAATATGGAGGAGCTAAAATTTCGAGAGCTAATTGTTTAAAAGGTATTAGGGCGACTTTTACAAAAATTGGCAGTTTGGCATAATCTGAGTCGTAGAATCGAAATATAGAAAAAAAATAGGTATGCCATTTATAAAAAAAGTCCCATTTTGCGTCAAACGTTAGAACAATGCTATATATAAATCTAATATATTTTCTAAGTCGCGCTTTCGAGACATGAAAAATGCAAGTTAAATTTCGACAATAGGTCCAGTAGAACGGGAGATATATATATCCGTGCCATTTTTTATGGAAGATGTAGTACATGAAGTACTAATAACCAATAGAAGAGATAGTTGATAAACATCTAATCTTACCTGTTCTAATTTGCCTGGAGTTAACTTCCGCGCTTCCTGGTATATTCTTATTCCACAATACTTTTACAATCTGAATGTAGAAGAAGGACATGAACAAGAAGGGAGCAAAATATAGAAAGAACACTATCAGCAACTGGTATATTTTCGTGTAATGGTTGTTCCAGGTATACGTGCAATCGGTAAAGTAATGTGTCTCCACCCTTAGCTCAGAACTCTTCATGGTGTCCATGACTAGAGCATCCGGTAGAACCAGAATCAGGGACGTAAACCAGATAATGATAATAGCCTTCTTCGCCCGGCTGGCCGTACTCTTGAATTTCAAAGGATGGCAGATAGCATACCAACGGTCGATGGAGATGAAAGTCAAAGTCAGTACCGAAACGGATACGGACACGCTCTGTGGGAAAAAGAAATAAAAGGTATTTAGAGGACAGCATCTAATCAAAATTTATTTCGTTGTACTTAAATTATATAAATGTCATATTTTTGTATATAAATTAGTTACTTTATGCATCCATAACAACAGTGCATTATCTGTTTAAAAGGAAGAGCTTAAGATCTATCGAGAACAATTAGCCAGATGCTCACTGAAATAAAATTATGGTTTTAATTTCTTATATAGAAATATAATTACATTTTTAATTCTACAAAGGCCAGGGAAGTTTTACACAAGTTTTCAAGATACTTTAATACTTTGTGGTTATCGAACGGTGTAATTAAATAAGAAATGAAACTTAATTCTTTTGAAATTCTTTCAGTATTTAAAAAAATTTGCCCGTTTGGCTGCGTATGTGATAAATTTAAACTATAAGCAAAGTTACGGATTTTCCAAGGCTTTAAGCATTCACCTGTAGCTTATGGTTCGACTCTATAACATACTCAGGCAAGTGGACAAAACTTTCAAATTTTTAGCAATTTCATTGTAGACATTTTATATGCCACAGAATTTATGCGATTTTTCTCCATTTGTGACTGAAACGAGAACCAGTTTGGTTAAAAAATTCTCATGAAGGTTGTCTTTAGAAGTAAATATGAAATGGAGAACCAAATAATGACAGGATATGAAGTAAAAAACTAATCTTAAAAATCTTTGTTCTGATTTCAATTAGCTGAAATGCAAAATTGCAATTTTGAAATAAAGCAAATAAATCTTAAATAGCCTGAACAGAACTTCTGATTTCATACATTTTCAATCAAAATATATCATGACTTTTCATTGTTGATGATAGAAGACACATCCCACACTCATGTCTAAAACACATATATCCATTCAATAGTATTCACTTGATTACGTGAGCATAGGAAATGCTTAATCTCATCTTTATCTTCCATGAACTTAGAATTTGTGTCTCTGAATTTGAGCATTACTGTCCTGAAAGGCTCCATCAATTTACGTTTCAGTTTACGTTCTCTGGAAACAAATGCTGCACTGAGGATGAAGCTCCTTCCCTAAAATAAGGCTTCCAAGGATCTAAATATCAGCACCAACAGGTCGATGAAATTTTGGTGGCGAGAAAACGCATTCAAAAATTAGCTGATTAAAAGATGACTAGAAAGAAATTTTGATTCCGAAGCATATCAGTATTGTAAAATCACCATCGTATTATAAATATTTCCATCACAGAAGGGAACTCAACTACAAACAACATTAGAGTTGAACAAACGGCAAGAGTAATTTTCTGCTCTTGGTAAGATATCTGCTAAAAGAACGGAACTGTAACGGTTCTTCTCAATGCAATTTTATGGTGTTAGAGAAACGCTTTAAAGATACAACGCAGCATGGCAATTCAGACCTGTAAATGCAGTTCTAACAAAGACTAAGAAAACACTGAATATGGTTGAAGCAGCTGCTATGGATGGTCATTAACTCTGTTATTATTTACTCAGATGTACGTTTATGTTAGCAGTATACAGTCTTTGTTAAAAATCGTAGATTTGAGTTTAAATTAACGGGCACAGCACATTTTTGCTGATGCTTCAGAAAAATGTTATGTTACAAGAATACTTTCAAAGGCCGAACAAGCTCGGAATGTTTTTACCATTTCCAAATAATTGTGTTTTAATTTTGTACTAAATTATAAAGTACATTTCACTAGGTTTACAATACAAAGGGTTATGAAAATGGCTACAGACTACATTTTTTCAAATGTTGGATCTAGATGTTGCAATATTTTCTAAACTAACGTTTATAATTTTATGGGAACATTAATTTATCAAAACAGAAGGGACGGTTCCCTTACGCTTTTCTCTAAATATTAAAGTTTACGTTGATGTCAGGAAATCTTTCCGAAGCCGACAAGTGTTTCGAAGCTGACAAGTTTTTCCCAAGCTGAAACGTCTTTTCGAAGCTGACAAGTGACAACAGTTTCATTTTTCTTAGGCTGCGAACCAATCACATGCCAAAATTATCTTGCCAAGTGTTGCCACTGAGCTAAATATAAGGTCTTAAATTTATCTCGCTCCTGACCTCACGCATAGCTAGTTCTCGGAGTGCTGCCCTTCGGCAGATCATAAAATTATTAAATTATATGATTATGACAAACATTTATTTGAAATAATAAGCACCAATTTAATGCATCAGCTCTTTACTTTATATTTTAGAAATACAGTAACCACCACTTATTGAAATCATATCCGTTACAAACGTATTTATTAAGCGGCTGAGTTTAATAGACGGCGATTTTTGTATTGCGAACAGTCATATCAGTTTTAAACTTTGCAGGTAAAATGATACAGGGTGGGGCAAATAAAAATGGTCCGGAGAATAGAGTTACTCTGTTTTCCGGGCCATTTTTATTTGCCCCACCCTATAGCTAACAATTTATTAATTAACCAATTCTAAAATAATAAATGAAAATTAATATTAAAATTAAACCATTTAAGCAATTTTGAAATTCGTTTTTTGAATTTTATTAAAATATGTTTATTGCGTTCTACATGAAATTTTATACTTCACGAACAACAATCCTATCTGTGTTTGTTTCGTATTTTTAAATAACAGATTTTCAATTGCATTTTCAGTTTCGTAAAACTGCTCACAGCTTTTTCGTAGAATTTACAATGCTTTTCTAGATTCGATTGATGATGGCATGGTGTAACATTTCTCTGTGTCACTTTGCTGTCAATTTCTACAGTTCTTTTAATACTTTGTTAGACACTTTTTATACATGTTGTTCCAATATTGTTATGAATTGACATATATTCTAAAAATAAATCCTCCTACGTTTCTTCACTGACATTTAAAACATTAGATATAGTTTGCAATTCTCTTGAGAATCCATCAACGAGAAAGACAAATCTTCAAAACAGTTTTCAGCTGATTTTAAGAGATTAATCCTTTTCATCGATTATAATATAAATAGCTTCTAGCAGGGATATCGACTTCGAAATGCTTGTCTTTAGACTAAATTCAATTATCTTCATTATTTATTGAACATCTTTTCTGTAATGAAATTTGAAAGCATTTAATGAAATATGAAATGAAATGAAAAAGTAAAAGCTACAAAATTTATTTACAGGATGAGACACTTATGTTTGCGTATGCTGTACAGTCATCGAATTAACAAAACTATTCTTTCATTTTAAGAAAACTATGCTTTCATTTTTTATTTCACTGTCCTATTCTAAAGAAAATCAGTAAAAATACTACTTGCCATCTGTTGGTCTTTATTGCTATGGTAAACCAGAAGTAACTTTGTAGAGACATTAGGTTATTTCGAAGCAGAAGATGTGATAAATTAGCAATGCCCTCACTAGGACTCGAACCACGGACCTTTCAAATACGTACCGAGAGTGATGACAACTACACCACGAAGGCACTCTAAGAAGGCGGGAGAAATACCTTTTATACTTCCCCTTTTAAAGGGCAACTGGGGTTTAAGGGACCCAATCGCCAACCTGGTTGTCATGTATCTGGCAGCGGTGAGCCAATCAGCTGCCTGGCAGAGCCCAGCAAGTGAGAGAGAGAACAGTTGCATGTTAGCCTCAGAGGAGGCAGGTTGTAGGTTAATTATGTTGTAGGAGCGAGGTAGTGCTCCGAGTTTGCCTTTATTCTTTAAATGTTAATTTTTTCATTATTCTTTGAAAGGTAAATTTTAATAAATGTTGGTGTCGTTTTCCTCATGGTGCCTTATTAATCCGCAAGGTCATTACACTGGTATTGGAGAATCATCATCTATCACTCGTTTTAGCTCGGACGCCACTGTAGAATCATTAGGATGTTTTTGAATCAGGAAAGTGAAGAGATCTGCAATGCCCTCGCCGGGACTCGAACCACGAACCTCTCGAATACGCGCCGAGCGTGTTGACCACTACACCACGAAGGCATGCTAAGAAGACGGGAGAAATACCTTATATCTTCTTTACTCTTTTCAGACATCGAGGTTTCTGCTTTTGTCAATAACCAGTGTTGTCTTTATTAATTGCTGGGCCCATATTGCACATTAATAACATAGTAACATATTATTTCGTTTCTTCAGGGTACCTGCTCGTTCCTTTTTAAGTATTAATACACTTTCTATTACTGTTCTCTAAAGCAATCCACATACAGAGGGTGTTCACACATTTGTGTAACGACTTTGCAAAGATTTATATATAAAAAAGAAAAATCTTAGAATTTCATTTTCTAATATGTTCAGTCTGATAGTACTTTTGTTGAACTATCATATTACATCTTGACCTTAATTACCTTCACAATCTTCCAGAGTCCATCAAATGTTTTGGGATGCCGCCTATAAAGAGCTTATTTTAAAAGTCCAGATGCACAGTAATCCATAGCAGACATATCGGAGGAATTGGGTGGGATGCATTTAAAGGGAATAGCTTCCATTTCTCAATTTTCAAATAATAGAGCAGTAGATTTAAAGGAGCTTTATTCTGATGGAACTTTACATAGTGAAGATTGTTTGGATAAACAGATGGAATTTCGTCTTTAAAGATAGGTCTTAAAACATATTTCTGCTCTATCCTTTCTTTCCAATTTACGAATTAATTTGATGTTTTTTAATACTTTCTTTATTTTAAGTTTTCCATTTTAAGAAAATCCAGTAATAACCATGAAACCTTTAGGTAAACTTTCCTTTTTTTCTGAACTAACATGTTAAGCATTTTTCTCCTTTTTTTCATTAGTAAATCGATCTTTTTCTATTGCCGTCAGATAAGTATATCCAAGCATCATAAATTGTAACTGCACATTTCCGATTTCTACTGCCAAATAATTTTCATATAGCAACCTGCACATAGTCTTACGCTGAGAAACATGTTTCGGCGTTAGGTGATAAACATCATGTTTCTTTGTTTTGATTAGCTTTAAATCAGATTTTATAATTATGTTCACAGTTCCTATAGAGATAGTTAAAGATTTTGCAATAGCTCTTTGGGAGGAGGGCTGAATATTCC